AAGCAAAGAAGAAGCACAGGCGCTGAAGAAGCAAAGAAGCAGAAAAGAAGCACAGACGCTGAAGAAGCGAAGAAGAAGATGTGCTATGCATAAAAGAAAGCTGAAATCTTCGAGATTCGGGCACTTCTCTTACTTGTTTCGCATTTCTGCAAAATTCGCGCACTTCTTTAACTTCTTTCTCATATCCGTCCCACAAGAAATTCCACTCAAATTTGCACTTTTAATTTGGCTTTCAACAATCGATAAAATCCTTAGCAAGTCTTAACTTTTGTTTGGCTTTATTTATGGAGAAAGTAGATTTAATTTGCATTATGCCAAATTTCCCATTTTACTTGCGGCAGATAGGTTCGAGGCACGCCCCCCCCAGCCGCCTCCCAGCCGCGCCCCCTCTAGCTGCTCGAACTTGGTAAATAAAAATGCAGAAGGTGAATTTCAAGCTGCAACAACAACAACAACAAATTGCACTTTATTTAATAAAAAACAAAGAAAGATAAAACGAAAAGTATGCACTTAATGAAAAATTGAACTTTTCCGCATATTCAAATATATCAATGCTCCCGCCCCCCCCCCCCCCCCCTCTCTCCCCCCTCTGCCATGGCACTATCTCTGGTGATTTTTCATTTATTGAAATAAATATGATTGAAGAGTTTCTGCATTTAATTTGAAGTATTTTTAACCAAATATTCCAGAGTCGAAGCGTTAAATCGAACTGAAAACAAAAACTCATCTCGATATTTAAGCACAACACAAAGATTATTTGTGTGTGGCACTTATCTAATTGAATTAACTGAGAAGTGTTTGAACTAACAAAAATGGTTGTGCCAATAAACTTGGAAATGTTGTACGTTTATTGATGATCTATCTGAATGCCTAAATTGCCAATTTATTAACATTTGTGACTCGGTTTTAATTAATTGCCTTGCATGCCAAACAGGCGTCTATTTTGATAAGATGCAGCGTGAATCCACACGGAGGAAACGTGCAGGTTGCCGGTTCAAAATCCAGGCTATGCTACGGTTGAAGGCGGAACTCTTAGTCGGGGGCTATATAATAGGTTTACCCAATATTCACTACCTATTAATTAATAATAGTTGTTCTCTTTGTAAAAAAGCTTCGTTTACTTTTGTCTCTACGGGGACTCGATCTATCTATAACATTTTGGAGCCCAGTGAACCAGTTAGAATCTGCACTTTCAATTTTCATGGTTGTATGAGCCGTATCTGCATTAAGACGTGCTTTGGGAAAATTTATTCTCCAAATAAGGGCAAGCATCATTAACAACATAGGCAGATGAATGTGCTTTGCATGTGACAGGCTTTAAGGCTGCGTTGAACCATCAAGTAAAAAGTTGCCAGTTCAAACTCAGCTGCTGCCCAGCTCCATCAGTCGGAAAGACGCAAATGCAGGGGAAATGTGAATACAATTCTCATAAGCAAGTTCGCTATATCGAGCGTGCACTGTCATAAGTGTGGAATATTCGAACCACTTAGCGAGAAGTCGCCAGTTCTAATTCAGCAGCTGCCCAGCTCCATCAGTCGGAAAGACGCAAATGCAGGGGATATGTGAATACAATTCTCATAAGCAAGTTCGCTATATCGAGCGTGCACTGTCATAAGTGTGGAATATTCGAACCACTTAGCGAGAAGTCGCCAGTTCTAATTCAGCAGCTGCCTTGCTTCATCTGACGGAATGCATGAAATATGGGATCAAAATTTGTATAAGAAAGTTTGCTATATCGAGCGTGCACAGTCATAAGTGTGGCATATTCGAACCAGCAAACGAGAAGTTGCCAGTTCTAATTCAGCAGCCGCCTAGCTCCACCGACTGTTGGCCTTTTTATGTCGATTAAAGATGCAAATGCATGGAAAATGTGAATACAATTTGTATATGAAGTTCGTTATAGCGAGCGAGCACTGTGATGAGTATGTGTGGCATATTCCGCTGAGAATTTGGATTAGTTGAAGAGCTGGCAAGAGGCAAGATGCAAGAGGTGGGCCTTTAATTTGTAGCTTGCAACAAGGTCATAAAGCACAAGTGCCTCTGGGCAAAGGCAGCTGTGTGTGTGTTGTGTGTGTGTTGTGTGTGTGTGTGTGTCGGGCAACTGGAGCAGCCGAAAAAATATTTATGTTATTGTGCAACAAAATGCATTAACTCAACAGTTGCAACAGTTGCTGCAATTGCTGAAGTTGCAAGTGGCAACTTGTCTTCCAACTCTCTGTGTGTGTGTTGGTGTGTGTATGTGTGTGTGTGCAATGTGCCTCGCACAACATTTTACATTCGATGACGTTTTCATTGCTAGATGCAACGTCAACAATAACAGAAATAGAAACAGAAAATGGAAACAGAAAATGGAAATGGCAAATGGAATAAAGTACAAGAACAACTCTTCAGCTGTTTTGCTCGCATGAATAACTGACCAGACTGACTGTGTGTGTGTGTGTGCGAGTGAGTGTGAGTGAGTGTGTGTGCGAGTGTATGAATGATTGTATAAATGAATAAACAGTTTGAGGAGCTGCAACTTTTGCCACGGCAGCAGCTCAGCTCAATTCGCATTGTATTCACTTTTCGATTTTTCTATGCTTCTTTTATTTTGTTGCTGCTCCTCGAATACCCTGTAAAAAAAAAGGGGCTAAAAGGCGCGCCTGCCACGCAGAGGAGAACTTTACACTTCCACTCAAGACAAGTTAAAATGTTTGTAAAATTTAAACGTTTTTTTGTAAGCCTCAAGAACTTTCTTCTCAATTAGGGCAATCTCTGAGCAACTTAATTTAAGCAAATGCATTACTTAATTTAAGCTAAATTGTGCTTGCTTTAAGCACTTTTCACACACTTTTCAGTTCTGCAACATTTTGTTATAAGTATTTTCTTTTACCTTCAAGTTCCACAGTTTTTTTCTTTAAGTTTTATTAATTTAAATTTAAGTTTTATTTTTAAATCAAGTCTGTTTCAACTTAAGTCAAGTCAGTAAATCTTAAAATTTACACACTTTTGCGTCCTAAAAACTTCGAATCAGCAAAGAGCTGCAAACTAACCTGATCACATGTCTTTATGGGGAAAAGATATCCCTTGAAAAACTAAATTAAATTAAGTACACAATTGTATTTTAAGGAAAACTATCCTTAAAGAAAGTAGAACATTAAGTACAAGGGAAAATATCTTTTGATTTTCAGTTCAAGGTCTATTGTTTTGTATTCATTTATTTATATGCCAGCCATAAATTCTCCCATGATTGATTTCGATATCGATCAATAGCGATAAATATCGATAAATATCGATTGTACTCAACTCTTAGCAATATATTGAAAAACAATTGTGTATTGAGTTAAAATTCTTCTCTCTTCTTTTGTTGTTCCAAATAACTAAATTAACAATTCCGGTTTGCGATTCCAACAAACTAAGTGAACTCTGCTTTTAGAATATTTATTTATTTCAATATCTTGAAGAACTCATCACTTTATATTAACGTACGAAGATTACAATCTAAAGCTGAGTACAAATTCTTTTCAGTTTATTTTATGCATAAACTCTTGATCAGAATTTGAATTGAATATTTCAGCTCTGACAAATTTTAAAAGCTTTCTCTTTGCGCCTTTATTTCGATATTTTCTTACAGCTCAACTCTGTTAAATATATTAAAAAAAATATATATTTTATTTATATCGATATAATGTTGATTTTTAGCTAAAATTCTTCTATTATTATTTAATTTATCCAAAAGTTCTTGATAGGGATCCTAAAAAACTGACCGAACTCTGCTTTTAGATCAGCTTTAGCTGGGAAAATTTAAAATGAGGCTCAAAATTTACCAAATGAATTTGAATTTCTTTAGTTTTGAACTCAACTCTTGGCAATATTTACGAAAAAAAAAAGATCTAAATATAATTGTATTTTGGGTTTAATTTCTTCTCTTTTTTTGTATGTTCTTCTAAATATATAAATAAAAAACTTACTAAGCGAACTCTGCATTAAGCTGACAAATTTTGTATATTGGAATATTTTTTCAATTTTATTTTCATCATATTATATTAAGAAAAAAAGAAAAGCAAAGTAAATACAATCTAATTTTGAGTCGAAATACTTTCTAGTTTGTTTTGTTTGTTCATAAATTCTTGATTTTCAGTTGAAATTATATTTCATTTTTTTTTTGTGATTCATCAATTTTTGAGTCCAAATTGTTTCTACTCTTTCTTCGTCTCCATAAATTCTTGACCGAGACCCAAACAGACTACATAGAGCTGGAAATTTTTGGTATGTGGATTGATATTTGCCAAGAGAATATTTATAGATTGTTTTTTGAAGATTGAAGAATTGAAAAAAAAATTGAATTAAAATTGATTTTATTTATTTTTTGACTTCAATTCAATTCTTTAGCTTCAATCGTATTTTCTTTTAAGTTGAAACTCTATTCATTTATTTTTTTTATTTTTTTATTTCAATTTATTAAGTTATTTCTTTAGTTTATTAATTTATTTAAGTTTCTCTTTTGTACTCATAAATTCTTGTTCCTGTTCATAATTCGAGTCAAAATAAAAACTCGATTCAACTCCAAAAAGAAAACTTCGTGGAATTGTTTTCTTTTTGTGTTCAATTTGAGTCAATTCTTAAGCTTCAATTTTCTTTTAAGTTGAAACTTTATGCATTTAATTTTTATTTATTTTATAACAATTTATTAAGTTTTTTATTGAGTTTATTAATTTATTTAAGTTTCTCTTTTGTACTCATAAATTCGCGAACTGGAACCGAACTTGCAAGAGCCACAGTTATCAGATTTCAGATGTGACCTTTGACTAACTAAAATTAAGATGCGACCTTTGACTAACTAAATTTAGTTAAAGTATTTTAAAATTACTTTCAGTTAGGCTGCGCGGCCCGGCGCGGTTTAAAAGTTAGGGAAAGGCAGCACAGCTATGGCTTGATATCGCAAGAGCTTCGTTTAACAGGGTATCGGGCAGTCGGGCAGTTAGTTGATTGGCACGTGTTGTGCATAGAGTTTCACTTACCGGAACTGCAAAGCAGAACGATTGCTGAGCAAGCGATAAATCCAGCTGCCGAGAAGCAGAACGTCTGTCCCTGCAATGCCATGGTGGCCCGTCGGTGGCGAGGGGGGGGAGGGGGGCTAGAGTGGGTTTAGGGTGGACCCGAAAACACGCTGCGCTTAGCTCGTTTGCTGACAGTCAGTCGGGCAGTCGGCCAGTCGGGCAGTTGATGAAGTTGTTGTCAATTTTGTTGAGCGTTTTATCTGGTTGTCAGCTAATGCACAACAGATCTGATTATCTCGCTCTCTCTCGCTCTCGCTCTCTCTCTCGCTCTCGCTCGCTCTCGCTCTCTCTATCTCCGTTGGCTGTTTGGCCTTTTAGCTGGCCGTCAAGTTTATTCAAAAAACAGCTTCGAGCTGAGTTTTTGAGTGCTGAATTCGTTTGCCGGCTTCACCGGGCCTTGGCAGCAACAGCAGCAGCAGCAGCAGCAGCTCATCTTTTGGCCACATTGTTGCCACATTTTGGGCATTGCCCCGCCGCTGACCGCCTCTCGCCACACGCCTCTCTCTGTGTCCTGTGTGTCCTCTGTGTCCCGCGTGTCCTCTGTGTGTCCTGCTGCTGCAGCCGGCTGCACATGCAAATTTTAATTTCCGTTGCTTTCTTCGATGTGCACACAACTGACATCCTTCATTTCCGCACCACAAACTTACTTTCTCTCCCTCTCCCTCACTCTCCCTCACTCTCTCTCTCCCGCTCTCTCTCTCTCTCTCTCTCGCTCAGCTTTCTTTTCAAAATTCTTTTATTTTTTTAATATTTTTTCTCCATATTTTGCACAAAAAAAAAAACAAAAAACTTGAAAAAAAAACTAACCAACGCGCGTTTCTTTAATTTAATTCGCTTGCAACTTTTTTTAAGCAAAAACTAAAAAAAAAAACTGTCTTTCTTTTTTTTTCTTACTAAGTTTTGTTTCTTTTCATATTTTTTTGTTTGAACCAATAACAACTTAAAATAAGTTTCTTTTTTTATTAAATTATTTGCTGCTTTAGTTTAATTTCTTTTAATGTTTCTCTGTATTTTTTTTCTAAATTTTTTTAAATTTTATTTGACTTGAAAAAAGTTTTTGCGTTTTGTACTTTTTTTAATATTTGTTCGCTTGCTTTTAGTTTATGCTTAGTTGTTTTTTTTTTTTATTTGGGAAACTTAAAAAATGTCGTTTTTTAATTTATTTAAGTTAGCTTTAAAGTTTCGCTTTATGATTTACGCGTTCTTCAACTTCGCTTCGGCTTATCAAAATTTCATTTGTCTTTATTTTGTTGGGTCGAGCGCACGCGTCCGCTTGCATCTGCATCCGAGTCGAGACTGAGGCTTGTCGCTGCCGAACTGAACTGCTGATAGCAGCGCCAAAGGATATGCAACGCGCTGCTCTGCCCGTCGCGCAGCAGCAGCAGCAGCAGCGGCAGCAGCAGCAGCGGCAGCAGCGGCGGCAGTCGGCAATCGGCAATTCGGCATCTCAAGCTCGTGTCCTGACACGAACGCAAGCAGCCGAAGCAGCGCGACAAATACTGGGCCAGCGTATAAGTTGAATGTTTTGGGCTATTTCTTGAAAGGGATATTTTCGTTTGAGGAATTTCCCTTGCCATTCAGGGAACACATTTGTACGAGCCTTGACAGCTGCAGCTGATGTCCTCTAATGCCAAATCAAAGGCCAGACAGAGTTGCACCTCTTAGGTATACAACTAGTAAGAGGCTCTAGGCGGGAGTGCCCGACTCGGGAATACCCTATATATACTATTCCCTATATATGCTATTCTTCATGTCAAGAAGTTTGTTGATTCAAATTCTTAAATCGCTAAAGTTTTGCTCAGAAACAGAATTTCGATATCGATTGCTTGGCAATGGGATAAGTTATCGATTATCGGAAACGAACTCGTACTGCGGGCAAGTATAGAAAGCGATAGTGTGTGTTTATTTGCCCATAAAGAAGCTAGATTCGTGGGATGTAGGGTATCTATCAGTCGTGCACACCCGACCAGATCACGCTCATTTGTATTTCCTAAATAATCCTCTGTTCATTGTGAGCATAATTATTCTCTTGCTTAAACTGAACGCTAAATTGTAGGCCAAGTTATTTCTGTTCCCAGGCCAAAATCTGTTCCCACATTGTAACTGTGCCCTACTCAGTATTTTCGCCGGCTGTTGCTGTTGCTTGGCATACTTATTATTATACTCTTATATGCAGCTCTTCGAATTGCTTTGGCACGAATCGCCGGCTGCGCTGCCGGCGTCGACGCGTCGTGTGTCGTCAATTTTTCAGCGAATTACAACGCTTGACGCCACGTGCTGCCGCTGCCGGCGTCGCTAGTGCCGTTAGCTATCGCTGGCGTCGCTGCCAGCTGCCAGCTGCTGCTTGTTGTTGTCTTTTGTTGCCGCCGCTGCTTATCAGTGGGCGTTGTGTGTAGGCAGCGCGAAACAACGCGTTGCCCCCCCCCGCCCCCTCGTGGCCTCAAACTCCCCCTCCCGCTCATCCGTAATGTGATGTCCTTCTCGTTTTGTCGCGCTCGTTCAAGTCGGGCCTTGCGCCTTGCGAGAAAAGCTTTGATATAAATTCTTATTGGCGCATTACAAATTGTCGTCTTCTGTGTGCGCGCGCGTGTGTGTGTGTGTTTGTGTGTGTGTGTGTGTGTGTGTGTATATAATGTAATCAGTCACATAACACAAACATTTTCAATCACACCCACACACACACACACACTCACAGCGACAGCGCGCGAGTCGCTTATTGTTTGTTTTGTCATTAGATTTCGCGCATATTTTTCCGTAATTAGATTTTCACTTCATTTGCATACAAATGATGCCGAGGAAAAATCAAAAACGAACAACAACCAAAAAAAAAAATGCTGAACATATTTTCACATTTTCATTGTCTTAGTTATGTCATTGTCTTTGTTAGCGCCCCAGGCTCAAGCTCAAGCTCAAGCCCAGACCCCGCCCCCGCCCCATGCGCGCATAATTTAAGGGCGGGCAGCGAGTCACAGCAACTGCCTAATGTCAATCATTCATTTCATTCACTTCTCCCACTCGCCACTCGCTACTCTTCACTCATCCTTGCTCCATTGCCCTCCAAAATCATATTTACACACAGTTAATCTGTTTGCCTGTCTCATGTAAATTAAACCCAATCAAAAGTTTGTTCACTCGTTAATTTATTTGTGTACGCCAATGATATTCTTGATATTTGCGAGTACCCACTTTTTAGCGAGTACCTAGCTACTCGTTAATGTCAATTCCTAACTCACTCCTCGATTCGTTTGACTATTTTTCGTTTCGTATAACTATGCGACACTCGCTACTTTCAACTTCTCACTCACTGCTCGCTACTCGTTACTATTTACTCGTCAGTTGCCATACTACTCTCTTTACTCGTAATTCTCTAGTCAGTAATTGTCTAGTTAGTCGCTGCGTGAGACTGCCTAGTCTCTAGTCGTAGTCGCTGCGTGCTACTCGCTACATGCTACTCGTTATATCGCATTGTCGCTACTGGTTGCTTGAAGTTCCTCATTAGTTTCTTGTTTGTTGTTTTACGTCACACTTAACTCGCTTCCAACCTGTTAAGTGTGTTGCAACCTGTTACTCGCTACTCGTTATTTGTTACTCGCTACTATTTACTCTTTACTTTATAGTCGCTATACATCAAGCTCGCTTTTATTGTTTTTGGCATCCTATTACAACCCACCCACTCGTCACTCGCTCCTCTTTACTCGCCACTCGTTACTCGGTACTCGATACTCGTCGCTCGATTTGCTTTAAGTAACTTTTATTAGTCTCTTTTAGTTACGTCTCTTTCACTCGCTGCCCTTTGCTCTCTTCACCCGCCCCTTGTGCGAACCGGGCAAAAAGGTGAAACAGAAAACATACAAATAAAAACGCAATCAGCGTAAAGAGCTGCTAATTCAATTCAAATGTCTCAGCTTAATTTGAATGGCGTCTCGTTGCATTATTAAATGCCGCGCATTTCCATCAAACCAACAACGCACAACCCACACACTCGCACACACACACACACACACACCTGAAATTTACCTCCCACGACTCTGGCCGCAAAAACCGAAACCAATCACTTGACATTACAATTGAAAGCCAAGTCAGCCCCAACGATAACAACAACAAACACAACAGCTCAACAATAATAAATCCGTATGAAATTCCATACGCGAAACGGACTTTCAAATGCCCTGCCTGGAACATTAGGGGTATTCCACATTGAATCTATTGAATTTGGGTCTAAATTCATTTTTATTATTTACATTCTGTTTGACACACTCAAAGTTTGCTTAAGCTTAGCCTATGGTAAGATAAAACATAAAAGAAGAAGAGCAAACCAAGCAACTGCTTATTCCAAATCGATTACAGACTTAGATAGATTGCAGCTATGATCGATTTTCTGTCCAGCTACAGAGCTAAACCATGTCAAGCCTAAGCTTACCTTTAGTTTCTACAAGGAGCTCAAAATATTGCCTTGCCCCAGTTTGGCTGAGAGCTAGAAGCTCCAACCTTGCGATAGAAGCTCAGCCTTGGCATACTCAGCTCTAGTTCGTGTCAAACTATCGATCTATCGATATCGCCTCGGTTTGTTCCTAAGCATTTATCGTAGCTGAGTAGCTTAGACTTGAAATTTGGAATGTAGGCAACCCTATTGCAGGAGCTAAGCAAGTTTATTGAAAACTATCGATAAATATCGATTCTCAACAGTTCTTTCCAGGGCAAGTTTATTGCAAACTATCGATAAATATCGATTGTTAGCAGCTGTTCTTTGAACAAGTTTATGGCAAACTATCAATAAATATCGATTGTTAACAGCTGTTCTTTGGGCAAGTCTATTGCAAACTATCGATAAATATCGATTTTCCTTGGGCGGCTTCACAAATGAATTGGATTAATGTTTCTATTAAAAATGCCCTGTTTACTTGCCTTAGATATCGAAGAAAACTAGCTGGATTGTGCCTAGATTTTTGGTATTTAAAAAATACTAAATGTCAACTTTATGGCCTGTAAATTTCGATAAATATCGGAGCATATGCTAAAAGGTTATTAAAGAAATGCATTTTATCTCAATCAATTGAGGTCGAAAATGTTTGTATATGTATAAATGTGACAACAGATCGCAGCTGGTTACAGGGTATCTGCTGGTCGTGCAGCATGCACTTGTTAATTTTGCTATCGGGCATTGATTAAGGCCTTGCCCTAAAAAGTATGCTACAAA